TTATTTATAGCAAAAAGATGAGTCTGGGTTGAAACGGGGCAAAAAAACTGATGAAATTCTGTTTTCGGAATTAGGCACGATCGTGCCTACCCGTGCAGGCATGATCGTGCGTGGCTAGCAGTAGTTGTTGGTCTGCGTTCATATGGATGGGGAAAGTCGCCCAACCGTTGGGCGACTTTCCCTAACCATGGTTGAACCCAGCAGTAGATCGGTAAATATTTTTTACCAGCATTATTTTCGTAATTAATTAATTAATTAACATTAATTCGAAAAAAAACTCCTGAATTCCTGATCGAATTTATTTGACTGAATTCCGATCGAATTTCATGCTCACAAAATTACATTAAAATATTCCACGGAAAGACCTTCAAAAGAGCAATTCCGCACGGAGCCCCCCATCAGGCCGCCTGACCAGAAAAGGACCATATATATAAACAAAACAGTGTGAGGTAGCATTTTGGAGGAGAAAATGGCTTTACATGGTTTTAGAGATTTTTTTTCTCATTAATAAAGCAATAATTAATTATTTCATTATCACTTTATTATTGAGAATTTTTTCTCTCAGTTTCATCACAACATATGTCACCTGCGCCATAAAACGTGTCATTTTGATTGCCGACTTTTACGGGTGAGTTTCCGAAAATCGAAAAATGAAAAAAAAATAGATTATCAAATAAATTACATACGGAGTACTCCGTATTATTTTGTACTCCCTTCGGTCCGTATTAAAGTTCTTACTTTACTTTTTGGGATGTCCCTTATTTAAGTTCACACTTCCATTGTAGGAAACAAAACAGTGTCAAACAGTGTCCAAACAGTGTCAAACAATGCACTCCACAGTAAAGTCAAATTTATTTTCTTAATCTATGTGAAGTCAAACTGGGAACTTTAATAGGGACAGGAAGGAGTATGAATAATATAATAGGAGTACATCTTTGCAGCATACAGGTAAACAATTCGTTTTACAAATAAATAAAAAATAAATAAATATATAAATTATAATGATAAAGCATAGATAACAATAGAGAATTTGATGAGTACGTGTTCAAATATTTCTATAATGTTTTAGGAAAAGTATTTGATGGAGTAATGGGACTAGGACCAGAGCTTAATCAGCCCAAGCCCTGAACATGGACCCATGGATCCAAGTTCACAACCTGGAGCCTGCCTGCCAGTCCGGCCGACCTCACAGTCCGGAAGAGTAACGGTCAAGCAATTAATGCGCTATTAATTATGTATTTAATTTCGTATTAATGTTGTAATTAATTAGTCATTATAATCGATAACGATTACGATTTGTATACGCCTATAAAAGGCGGGTTGTAATTCAGATTAGGGGAGACAAATTCTATATGCTATTTCTGGCTACCAAATTCCCTCTGCAACTTTCCTTATTCATATTTTTTTCTTGATTTCCACTTGAGTGTCGTACGTAGCTTTCCTAAAAGTCTACGAGCGTCCTAATTTGGACCAACATTGGTGCTTTCATTGAGAGCCTCTATTGTCTCTCACATCGCTTGAGTAGGAATTCAACCGGAAATTTCAGAAAAAATGAGAGAATACACAAAAAATATGGAATTTACAAAATATGCTCCTAAGACGATAGTGTCGCAGCTAAAGAAGATGTCGCTGCTCCAGAAGACCCAGATCTGAATTCTTGCTGAGCCGGATCTATCATCGTCATCCCGGCCGCTGCTGTGCGCTGAAGCGCCTACCGCTGTCTCAGTCCTTGCCAGCGATGTTGGGAGACGCTACTTGCACCTTGGTCTGCGACCTCACCAATTCTTCGCTGAGTCTGGAGTCACGGAGCAACTGGAATATGGATCCCCATCGGACGGCGGTCACCGAGGCAACGACTCAGATGCCATAGCAGCCCGCTAATCCAACTCCGCCGCGCTGCCGCCAGGCCTGCCAATCTCCGGCCTCAACTCCCCAGACCGACCTCTCTCACAGTCACTGATGAGAACTCTTTTGCTCTGTCGGTCTGTCCTCGGTTATCCAGCGAATCGAATTAGCAAGCGGGAAGTTCGGCTTCTCACAGTGAGTCGCCGTCCTCAGACTGTAGTATGGCCCTTAATTGATGTGGGTTGCTATGTTGCTCTTCCGCTAGCAGTAGCACGACTAGGGTTGGGATGTATCAAAGATTCAAAATCATGGAATGGTGGTCCTGCACGATCCACTTCTAATAGTCCCACTTCAAAAAGAAAGCTAAGTTACTAAGTATACTAAATTATTGCTTGCGAAATATATGATTAAAAAAATCACAAATTGAATCCTTTGAAAAGAAAAAATTAAGTGGTTTAATTGCTTTTACTCTTGTTAACTGTGTGTAATTTTAACATTGAACAATGGACTTATGAAATCTAATCACTCAAGTACGCCGGACGAGCACGCACACTCGTACACTGGCTGAGCACACACACTCGCGCCACCGGGTCACGTCATATGGGTGTGACGATTAATAAGCTCCAATGTAAATGTTAATACCACACACTCTTGACTTCATACGAGTTCTTGCGTGCTCTTACCTCTTCCTAGTGCATCACACTCTTACGAGTGACTTGGACTACTCCCTCTTAGCCGAGTCTACTACTCGACTAAGGAAGTGGGGGAGTCGTGATGGAGTAATGGGACTAGGCCCAGAGCTTAATCAGCCCAAGCCCCGAACTTGGACCCATGGATCCAAGTCCACAACCTGGAGCCTGCCTGCCAGCCCAGCAGGGAGCCTGCCAGTCCGACCAACCTCCCAGCCCGGAAGAGTACGTAACGGTCAAACAATTAATGCGCTATTAACTATGTATTTAATTCCGTATTAATGTTGTAATTAATTAGTCATTATAATCGGTAACGGTTACGATTTGTATACGCCTATAAAAGGCGGGTTGTAATTCAGATTAGGGGAGACGAATTCTATACGCTATTTCTGGCTACCAAATTCCCTCTGCAACTTTCCTTATTCATATTACTTTCTTGATTCCCGCTTGAGTGTCGTACGTAGCTTTCCTAAAAGCCTACAAGCATCCTAATTTGGACCAACAGTATTGACATTCAATGGAGCCAAAAACTCATTATTTTTTGGCTTGGGAATATGATGAAATAAAGCAAATGGGCTCACTAAACTATCTGCGCTTCTTTGTTATGAAGCAACAGTGACTCCATGCAATTTTTGACGCAATTTTCACTATGGGTCATCCGGAAACAGTCTCTCTATGCTTTAGTACAAGGGTAAGACTGCGTATATCTGACCCCCTTACCCCAATGTAGGTGGGGAGCCTTTGCGGCACTGTGGTAATGATAATGATGATTGACATTCAATTAAATATACAGTATAAATAAAATTAAGGAATTTTATCAGTTCGGGACCTGAAAGATAGAAAATTTATCAATCAAGGACCTGAAAGATGAAATATATCGATATGGGACTTGAATGAGGAAAAAACTATCAATCTAGGACCTAACATTTCATATGATTTGATTTATTTAATTTTTTATTAGTTCCATTGCTAATATTTGATGAATTTTTCTTCACAAAAGTTTATTAGTTTAATAAAAATAAATAATACGGAGTATTTAAATATTTCAAAAAAAAGAATTATGAAAACTTAGGTCCTCCATTGATAGTTTTCCATCATTCGGGTCCTATATCGATATATTTCATCTTTCAGGTCCCGGGTTGAAAATTTTTCTATATTTCGGGTCTTGGATTGATAAAATTCCTAAAATTAAACTCAAATTATAGGGTTGGGTTCTAATGAGAAGACATCTTAACGTGAGAAGTGAGAAGTTACACATTTACCTACTTCTGATGCACTTTTTTGCTAATCTGATGCACTTTTTGTGATTGCAGAAAAGTTCCGATTAATTACGGAAATGCCACCGCGTCTAGCATCACATTTTTTAATCTTTTTTGCACTTTCCCGTTCACTTTTTTGCTAATCTGATGCACATATCTTAAATTGAACGCACAAGATGCATTCTCACTTCTTACGATAAGCATTCTTCTCATTTGATCCTTATTCTATATATATTGGGTGCTAATTTAAACTAATAAACTGTTTCAAAAAAATAAATTGGGTGCTAATAACAGTGTTAACTTTTCTAAATTGTTATAAAAAATTTACATACGATGAAGAATATATATATATATATATATATATATATATATATAATTGTGTGTGTATATATATATATATATATATATATGTAAAAATTTTAAAACAATTTAGAAAAGTTAACACTGTTATTAGCACCCAATTTATTTTTTTGAAACAGTTTATTAGTTTATATTATTATTGTGAATATTTCCAGTAGGGATTACTTCGTACAATAAGTAGTCATACAAACTGATTTAATATTACATCTTTGCAACGCACCAATAAACAGTTTGTGTTACAAATATAGACATAAATAATGAATTGGTGAATAATAATCCGTAAATAATTAAAGCAAACAAATGAATAAATAAATAAATAAATGAATAAATAAGTCACTAAATAAATAAATAAATAAATGAATAAATAAGTCACTAAATAAATAGAACCACACCACAAATTCCACTTTGACGTTCGGGAGTTAACACAAAATTGTACGTAGTTCGTATGTTGCTTGCGATATATCCCTGCAGGTCAAACAAACAAATATTCCAGTTTCTGTAGTAAAATTAGGAGAAACTTTAAAAAGACAAGGGACATAATGATTATTGTCATGATTTTGGATGTTTAATAATTCAGCACATATAATTAGTTTTACTAAGGATGAGACTAATAATATGAAATGGACCAATACAATGACCAATTGACCATGACTAGACGTCGTCCCCCTCATGAGATATGACCTATATAAGCTAAGCTCCATTTCACTTCACCATAGCTTAGAGTATATTCATCGATCATCTATATATCATATTTATATAACTAATTATTAATGGCTAGAAGTTTGTATTTCATCACTACACTGGTTTTAACCTTGGCGACCACGACAGTGGGTCATGGGGAGGAAGTATACACTGTGACGAGTTACGGAGCAAAACCTAACGGCGGCGGCTCGCCGCTGGAAGACAGCCTCAAAAGTGCATGGGTCAAGGCGTGTAAATCGAATGGTCCGGTAACCATCAACGTGGCGGAGGGAGTCTTCAATGAAGGCGCCGTCACTATCGACGGCACTGATTGCGGAAACAAGAATGGCATAACATTCCAAATCATCGGAGAACATCTGGCTCCTGACTATACACACTTCGGAGACGACGACTGCGAAGCGTGGGTCATGTTCGCCCATGTCACTAACGTTACCATTACCGGCGGTATCCTAAACGCCACGGGTCAATATCTCTGGGATTGCAAAAAAGCCGGAGGTCACTGCCCCAACGGAGCTAAGGTATGTAATTACTAACCATCTCATCTATAACATGCAATTTCCTTATACTCCGTATATACTAGTATAAGGAAGGAATTGGGATGCTTTCTTTTCCGTCATAAACCAAATCAGACCAGATCAGATAATACAAGACTTAAACAGACCAAATCGATCAGACAAGACCAGACATGGACAGTTACGAAATACACATTGGCCACACAGTTATCAAATCAGACCAGTTTAGATCGGATCATACTAGACTTAAACGGAACAGATCAGACTATACCAGTAAATTTCGGTCCAAAAGAAACTTTGAGTGCAATTAGTATTTTGCTAACCAATCGGTTTATTGGTTGGTTGACACAAGGTAGTCAATAATTAAGTTCTAGTTTTTGTATTGAGAAATTTACTTATATTTGAGCAGATCATTCATAAATTTCCGTGTACGACTAAAAACGTCTTTAAACATTATTCTATATATGATCGAGTAATAATCAAATTAGTTAAAGGGACAAAAAGTAGCTAGCATCAAAACATTACTGTACCTACTGGCTACTTAGCTTTGGAATAAAAATTTATTTGGTCATATTTTAAGAATCATCGCATCTTTTGTCACATTTAGCTTCTAGTAATTGTCTTATATATACAAGTATTATCTAAAAGGTCGCCAAAAAAAGTCTCCAAAAGCTCGATCTTAGTCTGATTTTTTTGGAAAAAATCACTAAACGGGAGTAAAAAAGTTTTGAAATTTCAAAATAGGACTGCCATGTTTTTATTCCCTGAATTCAAGCTTGACATTATCAAGTTTTAAACATGACAGTTTCCGCCAAGTTTTTTCAAACTTGACAGCAATTACTTCTATTTAGAGAATGAAAACACAAGGATCCTATTTTGGAATTTAAATTTTTTTTACTTATATTTAGGATAATTTATAAATTGTTTTCAAAACGTACATTTTCTAAAATTCTGTTATATCAAACAAACAATTAGCTTTTATCAAACAATATATTATATTATATTTATTTTAATTACTTTTCAGTTATTACAAGCTAATGACATTTACTAAGAAGCTCGAAAGAATCCTTTCAAAAAAAGAAGCTTTAAAAAATATCGACCTCATGACGCACACATTATTTGATCAGCGAAATTTCAGCTTAAAACACTAGTCAATCACAATTCTTCAATTTTCACCTAGCTAATCTATGCCCAATATTTGGTCACATTTCATCTTTAATATAATTCAATTTATTAAAATGTATATAGCTAGTAGAATCTCAATCCAATTAGAGCACTACAAAAAAACAGTCATTCTGTCACGCGGATTTGATGAATGTATTTTACCCTTTATAATAAATACATATGATCCATCTGCCCCTCGCAATTTTGTCCTAAACAACTTTCTCTTGAAAGTAAATAAGTGATTAATTATTTTTGCAGCGCAGTTCTTTTTGTTTATATTATATATATAAGACGGCCGGTTTGATGTAATGTTCTTTGATTGTCAGACATTGGCTGTTTTCAACTCCGATGGTGTGCAGATTAGGGGAGTAACCTTATATGATAGTCAAATGTTTCACTTGGCGATTTTAGGGAGTAGCAATGTGTTGATGGAAGACTTAACGATAAAAGCGGCAGAGAGTAGCCCTAACACAGACGGAATACACATCTCAACTTCCTCTCACGTTAACATCACTGGTAAAACCGTTATAGGGACCGGGGACGATTGTGTCTCTCTTGGTCCCGGCTCCAAGAACGTGTGGATTGAGAACGTCATAGCTGGTCCCGGGCACGGAATAAGGTATCATCCCATCCAAAATATCTTCCTTTCTCCTCTAAAACTTACTTTATTACTCCCTCCGTTTCAGTTTCTTTGACACGCTTTCCTTTTTTGGTTTTTTCAAAAAGATTAACACACTTCCTTATTTCCTTATTTGGTAAATAAATCTTTACCAAAACAGTGCAAAACAGTGCCAAACAGTGTTCAAACATTGCCAAACATTGTACTCTACAGTAAAATTTACCCCTCAGTAACATTTTTTCCTTAATTCTTGACAAGTCAAACTGTGTCAAAGAAACTGAAACGGAGGGAGTATGTACTACGAAGTTCTACCTCCGTCCCGGAATTATCTCCTTATTTGACTTGGCACGGGTTTTAAGATAGTGAGAAATGTGTGGTGGAGAGTTGTGCAGAGGAAAGAGAAATGTGTAAAAATGGTTGTGAACCACAAATTCTTTGTCAAAAAGGAAAAAAGAAATAAATTTGGGACGGACCGAAAAGGATAGAATGAAGATAATTCCGGGACGGAGGGAGTAGTATATATATGCTATATATATAGTAGTGTTCCGGTCAGGTATTCCTGACCGGAAGCGCCGTCCGGACGGCGTCATTTGGGGCCCTAGCCTTCCCGGTAGAATTTCTTGATGAAATTTTTATGGCATGTTCTACATCAAGTCTAGATTATACACAAAACAAATCAGCTAAAAACTCAATCGGCAAGGCCGTCAAATGATTTTTGAAACATAAGTGCGCCGAAAAATACATATAAAACGCAGTTAACTTCCAAAAATTATTTGACGACCTTCCCGATTGAGTTTTTGTCTGATTTTTTTGTGGATAAACTAGACTTGATGAACATTCCATAAAATTTCATCAAAACATTCCGTCGGGAAGGCGGCCAAACGCCGTCGTCCAGACGGTGGTTCTTGTCCGAAATACCTGACTTGAACTTTTCTCTAGACCAGACCAAACCAGATTTGACTTTGATAGTTATAAAATACACAGAGAACCAATATTACCCGATCAGACCAAGTCAGACCAGATCATATTAGACGAAGACAAACTTAAATAAATCATACCAGACCAACAAATTTGAGTTCTTTTAAGTAAAAATTAAACATCTTAAGTAATTATGAAATTCATGTCGCGTCGCTTGATCTTTTGAATTGGAAATAATGTATACGGTACGGTGCAGCATAGGGAGTCTAGGGCGAGAAAACATTGAGGACTCAGTGGAACACATACACGTACAAAATGTTCATTTGGAGGGAACGCAGAACGGTGTGAGGATCAAGACGTTTGCGAACAATAAGGCGACGGCTTTTGTGAATGACGTGGTCTTCCAGAGCGTAACGATGAAGGACGTTGCGAACCCCATGATCATTGACCAATACTACTGCCCGGATGGCGAATGCGACAACAAAGATGGCCAGGAGTCCAGCGTTCAGATCAACAATGTCAAGTTTCTAGACATAAGTGGGACGTCAAAGTCCGAGGTTGCCCTCACTTTGAACTGCAGCGCCACCCACAAGTGTGCTAACGTGACAGTGTCCGGCGTTGATCAGCTCACTTACAACAACGTTAAACCTCAAGCTTCCTGTGCTAACGTCGCCAATCTCCGCGACGACTCTTGTGAGAGTGTGTTTTTCCCCGGCAACTGACGCCGCCCTGTATATATATATTTTAGGATTAAAAACGGTTTCAAAATCAATATACAGCTGTCGTGCTTTTATTCCGTATCAACGAATAATTACTATCAAATTTGGAAAATACCGTCTGGTTTAAAGTTCGGTAATGCCAAAAGATGACCGTACTTATTCTTATTTAGGGAATACAAATATAAGTCCTGATTTAGAATTCGTTTTTACTCTTATTTAAGAAAATTTCTCTATACTTCCCATTTTTATTATAGTAGTTGCTCATTTGAGTTCTAGGTTCAATTCTACCTTACAAGCTTTGCTTGGTGGCACGCGGAACCGACCGAACCCAGTTTTTTTGGTATGGGTTCCGATGTATGAGTAAAATTATGTAATATTACTAGTATCTTATCTTATACTTTTATAAAGTAACAATCTGGGTGGCAATTTTTATTAAGGGAAAAAAACAATTAATAATACAAAATGTCTTCCATGAAAATAACTTTTAAAAATACAAACTATTTGAATATATACCAAAAGTGATATATATATATATATATATATATATCATCAAAAACTAAATATCATTTATTTGATGTCTGGATATTACTTTTGATGATCAAAATGATTGGATTCCTTGTCAAAAAGACTCTATATTATTTTTGTTCTATATAAAAATAATTGGTATTATTGGTAATCATTTTCAAAGTATGTATTATTAATGGTTTGTGGGTGATAGTTGGTATTATTTAAAGTTAATTTCCCTTTTTATAATTACTATTTCCCAAAAAAGAAGTATTATGTTTATAATCGAAGTACTAGTTTTTCCAAACGTGTTGTATAAGGGTGTGTTAATGACTACTAACGTGTAATGTGTACACTGTTCTATATGATCTTGTTGTTTATTTATGCATAGGCATCATAGTAGAAAACATGTGGGTGTTAGGGTTAAGCAAACGGTAAATTCAAGAACTATAACACAATAATTTACGTGGTTCACACAATCGTGTGATTGTGCTAGTTCATGGCAAACGAGAGAGCAGTGTATTATTACGTCGACGCGTCAGGGTTTACAAGTACAACGGAGATGTTTAAACAGGTCTTAAAAAACCTAAACAAGAAATAGAGCCGCAGGCCCAAAAATAAATGACGTGCTCTTGTCGTGAGGTGCACTCAAAATAATTAATCAATACAACACTAATACGTAGTATAGTGAAGTAAGGTTCGTATCCACAGGGAAAAGAATACTTTTCTCTTATATCAATAGTAACAAGGGGGGTTTTAAGTTTGATTTGATTGAATTTAATTAACACTAAGATAAACAACTTATATGAGTTTGATTTAATGAGATGAGGACTTGGTTTTGCTTTTATCCACTTAATGAAATGTTTGTCGATCCCGGTTATATCTTTAACTATCTTCCTCTCGAATACTCAATCGAAGAGTATATCCAGTTCATCGAGGGCAGTTATTAATAATGAGACGCGTTCATTAATAAAACTTACTACCGAGTTAATATAGAACAAGCGTCGTATATTGGCCCGATAGTAGCAATAACTTAAGATGAAAATGATTGAGATTGATAACCTCAACACAAACGGTTTATTGGTTTAATCAATATAATTAATTCCCCTTAGATTATTAATCATGAGACGCATGCATTAACAACCCAAGTTTACTACCGTGGAAGGAACCGAATTAATAACAAGCGTATTAATCGATTGATTCTAGTAATAATTAATATAAGAAACAAAACTAGTTGATACTTTAAGTAATGTTTAAAATATTAACATGGAATATGAATAGGAATTAATTAATACTCAAGGAAGAATATTAAAGAATATGAATCCTCATATGATTAATATCAAGATGTTAACTAATTGTCATGTTAGTAACACTTCCCAATATTAACATAGAGGAAGAAATAACTACTACTATAACCAATGTCAAGATGTTAACTAATTGTCATCTTAGTAACACTCCCCAACTTTGATATAGAAATAGTATTTGAAAGGAAGAATTAATATTCAAGGAAGAAGATTAAAGAAAATAACTCACAACTTACAAATTCATTAAGCTTCAAAGTAGCAAAACCAAGATGGAAGAGTTTAGCTCCTTATTTGGAGTCTAAACATGATGAAAAATATAAAGAAAGAACTATTCTATACTGAGCTTAGAAGTATGGAAGAAGGGATGATTTTATTGTGAAGGAAAGGGGTGTATTTATAGGCTTTTGGGAGCAGCAGGGGCTGATACCCGACCGGGTATATAGGATACCCGATCGGGTATCTTAGGAAATTTCTCGGAAAGCCACATTTCTGGACATACCCGGTCGGGTATGTCGGTTTACCCGATCGGGTATGTGACAAATCTTTACGAAAATTTGCTCCCACGATCCTTTGTTCCCGGATTTGATTTGGACAACCGAATCAAGCAAATACCCGATCGGGTATTGCCTATACCCGACCGGGTATAAGAGTAATTTTTCCAAATCGAAATCTTTCTTGTCTCCTTGCACTTTCCTTGATCTTTTGAGGTCCAATCTTGATCCCTTGGATGAGCTTTGACCTGTTTAGCTCAGAATAGTCCTAATCTAAACAAATTACAAATAATTATGAAAACAAAGTATTACACCAAAAATGTGTAATTTCCACAACTAGAACTAATAAAAACTAGTTAAAAATACAAACATACATGATAGGAAATTCACACTATCAATAAAATTCGCACTTTATTTTTCCCGTATACCCGGTCGGGTAAACCCATGTACCCGGTTGGGTATCTTGATCCAGAGAGTTTTCTCTCACGCTACCCGATCTGGTAGCCAGGCGGGTATTCTTCAGTGGTAACTACTATATTTTTGGGGGTTTTCATACAAATAGTATTTGTAGGGACATATCAAATTTTGTAGGTAGAACGTTTTGCAGACAAAAAAAATTGTGGCCGTATTTGTATGGACATCATCGAAGAGAAAGATATAACCGGACAAAATTCATAACTTTGTCTACAAAAGTTTAGGCATACAAAACATTTCTAGACAAATAAAATTTGTATTCCAAGTGCTTTTACCTCAACATTTTTTGTAGGCTCAAGATATTTTTTCCAACAATAATTTATTGTATGGCAAAATTTTTGTAGATAAAATATATTTTTCTCTACGAATATTTTTTATAGAGAGCGCTATTCATCGGAAGAATGTCCTTTTCACTACAAATAAATTCTTGTACGGCGAGTGATGCTAGGAAAATGACATCACAAGTTGCAAAAAATTGCACCCAAAAGATTTCAAATAATGATAATTATAATACAACACGTACTACTAAAAATCGTTGTGCCACAAATTTCAAATAAGGGATTTGCATAATAAAGTACTCCATATCAAACTAAAACCTTATCGTTGAGTGCTAATACCATCCAAAAAATCAAATAAACTGAAACGTCACTACTAGAAAATTACCTTTAGCCCACAAAATTCGTCCAGACAAAATGAGATTTGTAGTTAAATATCTCTTTTCCTCACAAAATTTCTATTTTGTGGGGATTGTTTTGTCCTTGCAAGCATTTTCTTTACATACAAAATATTTTGTAGGCCCAAATATTCTTTCCAAACAAAAATATATTTTGTGTGCTTTGCACTTTTACCACAACATATTGAACATACAGATTGTAATGTGTAGCGCAAAGTGACATTTAATTTTACTACACACAAAATTGGTTCGACAAATAAGTGCAATATTGGGATTAGTATACATACACCAGGTAAGTCTGCAACATTATTTTTTTTGTTGAAAAAATGTTTGGTAATTAAATATAATTGTTAGCACGTAAGAAGATTTTATGTAAATAATATTAAAGATCTGTTTGATATAGCATTTTTTGATTTATTAGTCTTTTTAATCGACCATTTCAATCACTATACACCATTTCAATTACTATATATTATTCTTTTGATTTCATTTGTTGAATTTTATAATAATCAAAATAAGTAATTTTGAAGTTACTTTTCTGACTAAAATTACCTAATTTTAATTTGTTGAAAAGAGCTATTTTAATTTTTTCATAAACTATTTTTATTTAAGTAATAAAATATATTTTAAATTTTTTATTATAAAATGTGTTTCAATAGAATACATATTTTTAATAATTTTTTAATAAAATATTCTTATTTAATATTTTTTTATAATTATTTATAGAGTTTTTTTCAAAAATGTTACTACTATTAAAATAAAACTTATTTACACAAATATGACTAGTACTTACTGCAATATAGTGTCATGATAATATAATTTCAAAAATTGAACATAAGTTACCGTAATTTCATTACTATTCTAGTCACTAGCTAGTCACATTTTTGTAACAATCATTATTTTAATCATATATATGTAATTATATCTTATTTATATTCTATCAATTTTAGTTTTTTAGGTAACCGACCCTATCACCAATTTTATCATAAAAAAAGTAATGATCCTGCAATTTTTAGGTAAAAATTGAAATAACTATATACGGAGTAATTAAAATTTATCGGTCAAGAGTAAAATTAGAATTGAAAACCGAAATAGAAGTACCATCTAAAATAACCACCCATAATCACATTTTGCCCTAAACAGAGATCCAGAGATCGACAACTCCTCAACCGCATCTTTCTCTCCCGGAGGTTCAGCCGTCCAGGTATT